CCATAATAGAGTCACTCCATGTCAGTCTAGTGTAGTACTATAGTCCATAATAGAGTCACTCCATGTCAGTCTAGTGTAGTACTATAGTCCATAATAGAGTCACTCCATGTCAGTCTAGTGTAGTACTATAGTCCATATTGGTCACTCACCTTGTACAATGGGAATTTTAGTGTATTGAGTACATGTTGTATGGTTTGTCCACCACTATCTAAAGATGTATTATGTAGTCTATTGATTGACAAATTCCTCACAGCAATCAGTTCAGTGCTGTAAATCACAAGAAAACATTCATACATTGGAAAATTATCAAAAACGAAGCTAATACGTTTAGAACAACCTTATAATTACAACTATATACAAATTTGAAAGTTGTTGAAATACTAATGCTTTATTGATCAGGTCATAGCATTGTGGCTTAAGATCACACCGAGGTTTAGAATGGTTGGCATACACACTCTAAATCCTAAACTAAACTGAACTGAGCTGAGCTGAACTGAACTGAAAACTACCTCTGCCCGAGCAATCATAATTTCTTGGGGGAAGGGTGTCAGATTTGAAGTTACTGCATATACCAGAAATAGCTCTCGACAGAAGACACTTGCATACATACTGCATAGATGGCACCTATATTAAAAGTGCTGTGTTTTTTACACACTAACATTTGCTCTATTAGTAGTGCATGTCCTTAGGTAAATGATAGATGTGTGTCTATGACAGGAACCATAGCACCAAGAACCAAATGATTTCTAAGACTTTTTCCAGACCTTTTCCCAAACTTTCTTTCATTTTTCCAAGACATTTTGACCATTAATTCAGGCCAACATCATCACCTAAGCTCATCAAAGTTCTGAGGATATAGTTCCCTGGAGAAAACGAGTCTTTCTAAAATGAATTAATAACTATGAAGAAATTTAAAGACTTTTCAAAGATTTTTTTATTTTTCCTGTAATTTAAAAACAACTTAAAGACTCTCCAGACTTCTAAAAATCCAAAGACTTTCAAAGGATTTTCCCAACACTACGGACCCTGTATGATAAAAAATAAGCAATATGTTCAGACATCATCTGTGGATGCTGTTTTTTCCCCATTCATTCTATGGAGGCTTTTAGCAGGCAATGTATCATGCATACAATAAATGCAACTCTGGCTAACTTCCATTATAAATGCACTTTTAATAGAGCAAAAAGTTCACATGTAGTGACACTTTGTTGACTTACTCATCCATTGTTGTTAACATGAGATATGGTAATGACAATGAGCAGAACTTATCTACTTCAGATTTTACGCCATCCTTCAGTTGTGTTGCCAAGGCAACTGTTCCAACTTCTTGACTGCACAAATTGTTCTGGATGTATTGATGCAACTGCAAGAAATTGAAAATAAAACAACTTTATTATGTATCAGAGTGTCAGTCACCCGACACAGTAAAACCTGTAAATGACAAGTCGACAGGTGTGTATGAATATACCGGTACAGTGAAACTGATGTGGCATACATGTATACAGTACATAACACAATGAAACCCAGTTTACACAGTAGATTACACAAAATCCAAAACAAAAAATAGCATATTTTCAGCAGTCTTTTGATCAAAACAAACCAAAAATCATCCAAATATATAGTGAAAGACTTTCTTTTATTGTGACCAGCAATGAATTTAGGATATAGCTTTGAGATGTTTTTAGGGACAACACTGTATTTTGGTTGACACACACACGCAATATTGTTGTCTGTTTAGATTTGATTAAAGAACTCGATATTAGCAGTGGGGCAAGAGCTTTTATTTTTCAAATTAAATAGCCGAAATAAACTACTAAAAACATACCAAAAAAACCATGCAATTTTTACATAAACCAGGGGTTTTTCTAGAAAAAATGAACAAGAGAGAGCACACACAGGCGAGGGCGCGGAGCAACGTCATTTCGGAAGGTTTCTGTGCCGTTTTAACGGTGTATCTATTGCCATTGAGATAATTTTGGAGTAATTTTAGTGTATTTGGTGTCCAGTAACATTGTCAGCTAGGATTGCTGGGAAGTTTTCATGGAAAAAAATATATTTGAGAAAGATTTACTGTTGTACGGCAGCACGGAAGTGTGTAGCTCAAGAAATATATTTATGACTTGAAAGTTCAATCGGTAAGAGGGCAACAGCCAATAGTATTAGGGCGCTGCGCTCCTGTTCCCCGGTTTAGAAAACCCCTGCATAAACCATTATAAGTTCAAACCTAATGTTTTCTACACACATCGCGCAAATGCCACATTTATTTATTTGTGTTCACACTTTCTTACATATAGAATACAACTAGATTGTAAAAAACAAAATTCATACTGTACTTTTTAATATGCGTCCATATAATTAGTATGGACTCAAAGTAAAAAAAAAATTGCTGGGCCACAGAAATATTTTTAAGTAACAACGCAAGTTTCTGCATTGGTTTCTATGGTGACAGTATAGATACCTTGTTTGGTGATGGAAAAGTCAAACACCATATTTTATTAGCATATCATTCAAATAAGAATTATTGTAACATTCAGTACACCTCATTTACATATTAAGTGCATGCACTACTTACATAGAGCAAATACAGTATAGTTATTGATATAATTTTTATAAAGTATTTACATTTAGTTAGTATCCAATGAAACATGTATGCTATAATATCCAGTGGGAATTATAAATAGGCTAACAAATACTGGAATTCAGCTTGCACTATGACAAAAATTAAACACGTTTCAGTGCCACTGGTGGAATTTCATTGACATATGTACTATAAATTCAAAATGTGTGTGAAGATACACTGTTCATTATATTGAATGAATACGCCACATTTGTCAGTGTGAGTCACATTTGTCAGTGTACGCCACATTTGTCAGTGTGAGTCACATTCGTCAGTGTGAGTCACATTCGTCAGTGTGAGTCACATTTGTCAGTGTGAGTCACATTTGTCAGTGTGAGTCACATTCGTCAGTGTACGCCACATTTGTCAGTGTACGCCACATTTGTCAGTGTGAGTCACATTTGTCAGTGTGAGTCACATTTGTCAGTGTGAGTCACATTTGTCAGTGTGAGTCACATTTGTCAGTGTGAGTCACATTTGTCAGTGTGAGTCACATT